AGTGGTTGCTGCTATGGTTATTATGAACAATTCTGTGATTGGTGGATTTAGCTAAGTGGACTTAGTATGATCGGCTGCTTCGACTTTCCGATTACAGGTGTCCGATTACACTGTTTGATTACAACTGTACAGAGTGATTAGTGAAATATAAAGCAGCTGATCCACCAATCACATTTGAGGAAATCGTAATGGTTATGATTAATAATGGTAATAGGACCGAGTGGAGTCAATTCATTAATCAAGAGTATGATTACAGACAGAATTGGACAACATGAAGTCCTGTTACTAATTAATCAAAACTATAATAAAATTTGAGAAAGAAACTAGACATCGGGTATACTTTTTCATAAAAATATCAACATTTAACTCGGCGAAATGCGAGACAACAGCGCGCGCTCCTGACGCGTTCTCTCCACTTACATAGGTATGACGGGTTAACTGTCCCTTTAACTGTCCTATAACACTGTTCAATTACAAGCATGACGCGTACACTGTCCTATTAGTGCTCAAATCGAGCTGGTGATAACCAATCAAGTTCGAGAATTTTGTTATAGTTTTGATTAATTGTGTTATTGGTCAGATTGTTGCGTTAGTATCTTGCGCATCTTTAGATTGAAGTTGATCAGTTTGTTACGTTAGTACCTCGCGCATCTCTTGATTGTAGTTGGTCAGATTGTTACGTTTGTATCTCGCGCATCTTTGGATTATAATTGATCAGATTGTTACGTTAGTATCTCGCGCATCTTTAGATTTTAGTGGATCAGATTCTTTCGGTAGTATATTGCGCATCTTTTGATTGTAGTTGATCAGATTGTTGCGTTATTATCACACGCATCTTTAGATTATAATTGATCAGATTCTTACGGTAGTATGTCGCGCATCTTCACATTGCAATCAATGAAATTGTAACGTTAATATCTTATGAACTTTTTGGTTGTAGTTGATCTGATTGTTACGTTAGTATCGTGCACATCGTTAGGTAATGGTTAATCAGATTATTACGTGTCTGGAGCATCTTTTGATTGTTGTTGTTCAGATGATACGTTAGTATCTTACGCAACTTTTGATTGTAGTTGAACAAATTGTTAGTCAGTTTAGAATGTCCCTTTTACTCTTGTAGATCGGATTATTTCGTTAGTATCCTGTGCATCTCTTGATTTTACTGCGATCAGGTATCTACGTTGGTACATCAGACATCTTTTGTTTGTAGTTGATCAGATTTTTACGTTGATAACTTCCTCATCTTTTGATTGTAATTGATCAGCTCGTTACGTTAGTATCTTGGGCATATTAAGATAGTTACTGATCACATCTTTATGTAAGTATATCACGCATTTTTAGATTTTACTTGATCAGATTGTTACGTTAGTATCTCGTGCATCTTTTGATTGTAATTGATCAGAGTTTTATGTTAGTATCTTTCGCAGTTTTTTATTGAAATTGATCTGATTGTTACGTAAGTATCTCTTGCATATAGTTAGATTATAATTGATATAATTGCAACGTTAGTATCCCGCACACAATTAGATTTTGGTTGATCAGATTGTTTTGTTGCTATCTTGCACATCCCTTGATCGTTGTTGATAGAATTGTAACTTTAATATCTCGAGTATCCTTTGATTGTCGTTGATCGGATTGTAACGTTTGTATCGCACTCATTCTTTGATTGTTGTTGATCCGATTGTTACATCGTGTAACTTTTGATTGTTTTTTATTGTGTTGCAAGGTTAGTGCCTTGCGCATCTTTTAATTGTAGCTGATCAGCAGATTATTTTGTTGGTATCTCGCGCATCCAATGATTGTAATTGATCAGATTGTTACCATAGTATCTCGCTCGTCTTTAGACTGATTCACTGTGTAATTAATCGGATCCTTTTGCGAGTATCTCGCACATCTTGTGAGGGTAGTTGATTTGATTGTTACGTTAGTATCTCACGCATCTTTGGATCATAATTGATTAGAATCTAACGTTAGTATCTCGCGCATCGTTACAATGCCATCGGCGAAATCGTTAGTATCTTACGCAACTTTTGATTGTAATTGAACAGATTGTTACTCTAGAATATCCCACCTATTAGATTGTTGTAGACCAGATTGTTACGTTAGTATCCTGCGCATCTTTTGATTTTACTGTGAACAGATATTGAGGTAAGTATATCGGACATCTTTCGATTGCAGTCGATCAGATTATTACGATAGTATCATGCCCAGATGATTACCAAAGTTGGAGAAGAAGGGGCGTTCACAAGTACCGCCCTCAAGTTGCTAGTCAAAATA